GATGAGAGTTTTAAAAACACAACCATTAAAGTTGTTGGTTCATGAGCCACAATCATGATGATGTTTTTAATTTGTCGTTCAGACTGACTTCACTTTCATCCTCTTTTTGTTCTCCTCTGAGTTTGGAACCTTTTCTACCTCTGTTTTTCCACGTTTTTGTCCTCGTCGTCCTTCTTCAACACTTATTCTGTCGCTCTCGTTTTCCCTTGTGATTTACTCAGTGGACACATTTATTCTTTACGCCAATGTCACCATCACAACTCACGTCGGTGCCAGGTCAATCTGTTACGCCTTCCCTCACGAGGGCCGTAGGTGCAGCCAGACAGAAGGATTGGTCTGGACCAGCCTTGGTTTCCTGTGTCAGAGATCTGTAATACTCCAAAGTGAAGGTAGTGGGCAGTCACAGTCATTTGTCAGGCTTCGTCAGAGTGAAGACGCGTTCATGTTCTAAGAATAGACTGAAGGTAAACGCCGCCGTTTGTTCACGGTCTGCTCGTCTCTTTACTCACACGCTGTCGTCTTCAGATCAAGACGAACGACACGAGTACATGAGCGCGGCTCCCTCAACCATCGATCCTGTTCTGGTTTTGCTCCAGTGCCCTCTACAGGACCGGACTGACCGTGGAGGTCCGTTAACGGCCACTGCTGTAGCTGCTAGTGGCAGCAACCACTGAAAGCACGTTCTAACGTTCTACCGATCGGAGGTCACCTCTTCAGTCACGTTCTGTTCACTCCACTTCAGCTTCGGTTCTTGATCCAGGCTGAAAGTCATTTTTATATTTCTCAGTCGTTAACGTGTGTCAATCAAAAACAACACCAACTAATTAAAAGCCTCTGATGTGGCTGCTAATGAGAAGGTTGCTAGTCAAAACCAGTTAGCATGCTAACGTCGCAGGAGTGCTGAAAACCACCTGACATTTGATGAGAAGGTGTTGAAAACCACCTGACATTTGATGAGAATCTCTCTGGAACAACTCAGTTTTACACACAGTCCACGGGAGTTAATGAACGGGGGGCGGGTGGTAGACGGGGGGGGTGGACGGTGGCAGTCAGTGTGTATGTAGCTGTCACACTGTGTTAG